CGATGGCCTGGTCGGGAACGATAGACTTGCTAGTTCTGCGGATCCCCTTCTCTCCGGTCCTCCACGATGGCGTAAGCCCCTGTCAGATCAGCAGCGAAGCAGAAGGGCGTAGTTAGAGGCTCCTCGGCCACCCAGTCCCCGATCAGAACAGCACATTCATCAAAATATGGGACATCCGGTTCATTATCCTCGACCATTGTGCCCAGGACAAGCGTAGTCATTAACACCTGAAAAGCAGAAGGTAACAGTGAATTCGATGACGGAGATCAAATTCACCCTTCCACCGCAAGTCAAGTGAAAGGGCGACGAGGACTCCCCGAGCATCGTCCCCGGTGGATCTGCCCTAACCTACCACCTCCCCGATTACCAGCATGACCCAAACGACAAACTCTCCTCGGGGGCGCCCGTCGGAATAAACGCCGCTCCCCGGGACGTTCATCGGAGTAAAGAATCCCTCCCTGGGGCAATCATCGGAAAAAGCTTCTTTCCCCGGGACATTCATCGGAACTAGCGTCTCTCCCTAGGACATTCATGATAAAAACCCTAGAAAACCCCCTACAACAGCAGAGATCTTCGTCTCTCCTCGGGGCATTCAAACTACCCCGACCACGGTCATAAAACAAACAAGAAAAAAAGAGGAAAAGAGAAAGAAAACTTACTGCGATAAAATCTACAACGGAGGACGCGGCGGCTGTGACGGCGGAGATATCAGACGGCGGCGGGACAACAAGCAGGAAACTTAAGAGCAAGAGGGCGAAAAGTGAGGAATGAGCGAGGGCTCGCTTACTTATACCCCTGCACGGGACTTGAAGCGTCGCTAGGCACTCGAGTACCCTAGGGTAGCCGCCCTAGTAGCCACCCAGCGTGCGACACGTGGCAGAAGCAGACAGACGCACCCCTTCACCTATCCTCGCCAATACCCGTCTTCAAGCCCGGACAATCGACGACGAAGAACGCGCGTGCTCGCGCTCGAGGATCTTTCCCCGGGCCAGTCCACTTCCCCGGAACGACGTCATCAAGTTCTCGCTCCCTTCTTCGGAGCAACGACTTGGGGGGCTCCTGTTCTGGCTTGGGCCCCGGCCTGACCACGCGGGCCCAACCAATAATGTTCCACCAGGCCCAGTCCAGTTCGGGCACCACGTCGGGCACGAGGTCCCCGACAAGTAAGAAAGACCTCCCTGCGAGGAAGGCCTGCCCTAACTACGTCGGGCAGGAGACTCCTCGCTCGACCAAACACTGCCCTCCGCGGGCAAGACCTGCCCCCCGCGGGCAAAACCCGCTCTCCTGTCGGGAAGGACAACGTGTCCTTCACACGTTCTCCACGTGCTCCCCTCCGTGGGGACACGTCACCAACCAATTGTCCACCTCCGAAAGAGCAGGTCAAACCCACTTTCTGGAGATCACGGGACAGTTGAACTAGGGCAAAGACCATGTTCTGGTCTTCACTACGCCATGTAAGCCCTAGCAGTCACTTGGGTTAGGCCTGGCCATCTAGCCCAACTCAAATGACCGTTGGCCCTGCGCTGGGGTCTCTCTATAAATACCCTCTTCCACAAGAGGGTCAGGTAACACACTTCTTACCCCTTTCCTGTACTTTGCTCTCACTCTACCCAATTCCTTACTTTGGCATCGGAGTGTCTTGCAGGTACACCCTCCTTCTCCTCCTCATCACCGGTGAACAGGTAGCAGTCCAACAGAGTGTGACCAGTCCGTAATCCACTTCTGATCAGGTCAAATCAAATCTCAAACAAAAATTTTGATTCTAAATATTCGAGCGACAATTCAAATAGAATTTTATTTATATATAGTCGTTGGATTGAAATCTAGAGTCTATTGTAATAAAAACACACACACACATATACATATATATATATATATATATATATATATATATATATATATATATATATATATATATATATATATATATATATATATATATATATATATATATATATATATATATATATATATATATATATATAGATAGATAGATAGATAACTAACAATGATGAATTGCAAAATATAAAATGAAAAGACAGGCAAAAGTGAACATGCTAACACATATGAATAGAATGAAGATGAATAAAAATGTACACAACCATACAAAATAATTAAAAAAAACTATTCAAACTCTTCATAACAGTTTTATCTTATTAAACTAGATAAAGTAAAACTAATCAACAACGCTAGTATGACACTAATTTCTTTTAATTTACCTAAGCTATCAAGTTTGAATTTAAAATTGAATATGCAACAATGTTAAAATTCTTAAAGAGAGTTTTGTGTTTATCTGAATTCGAGATTAGTCTTTAATCTCTACATGTATACATAAACTTATTCAATTTTAAAAAAAAACATTCATATCCATTTAGTTAGTTAGTTTCTCTATTTTTTTTTCTTTAATATTGTGTCTGACATGACATGACATTTTAATACTAATGTATAAAACTCAAAATATTTAACTAAATAAATGATTGATATATTACTAGTTGTTATGGACTGGGTCGGCCTCACCTCGCGGCCCAGCCCAATGATGCGCAGCTAAGGCCCAGTATGATTCAATTAGGCTGGTCGGGCACACGACCCCCTCGACAGGCAGGATATGCTCTCGTCGAGCAGGACGACGTGCCTCAAGGCGCCTTCGGCGCTCTCCCCTCGTTGGGAAGAACAGCCCTCCGTGGGCAGAATCCCCATACCAACGAGCAGGACAGCGTGTCTCTCTCACGCCCTCGGGTGCTCCCCTCCGCGGGGAGAACAACGCACCTCCGGGGAACCTCCCGAGCTCCCCTCCACGGGGAGAGAAATGTTCCCTTCGCACGTTCTCCACGTGCTCCCCTCCGCGGGGACACGTCACCAACCAACTGCCCACCTCCGAAAGAGCAGGTCAAACCCACTTTCCGGAGATCACGGGAAAGTTGAACTAGGGCGAAGACCACGTTCTGGTCTTCATTACGCCACGTAAGCCCTAGAAGTCACCTGAGTTGGGCCTAACAATCCAACCCAACACAGGTGACCGTTGGCCCAGCGCTAAGGTCTCTTTATAAATACCCTCTTTCACAAGAGGGTCAGGTAATATACTTCTTACCCCTTTTCTGTACTTTGCTCTCACTCTACCCAATTCCTTACTTTGGCATCGGAGTGTCTTGTAAGTACACCCTCTTCTCCTCCTCATCACCGGTGAACCGGTAACAGTCCAACAGAGTGTGGCCAGTCCGAAATTCCCTTCTGATCAGGTCAGATCACTAGTTATTAAAATTTATATAATAATAAAAAAAACAAATATAAAAATGTAATTCAATAAAACATTATATTGAAGTATAATAGAAATATAAAATACCAAAATACATTTTTTTAAATTAAAAATATGTAGAATCTTCTCTTTTAATATGCCAAAAGTCAAGTTAACCAAAAAAATAATATTCTTAACGATTTCTTTTATTAATAGAATATGTCACAGTATCAAAAAACACAACCTTCAAAGAAAAGGAAATTAGGGGTGAGCAAATTTGATCTTTTGAATTGAAATCGATATGGACTTATCAATTGTTATGTGCATATGAATTGGATTAGATCAGCTATTGATCAAATTACTTAATTTTAATGATATATAATTGTTTCGATCGATTGAACTCAAATAATTACTTTATAAACCCTTTAAAATCAAACCTGATCGATATCAAAAAATATTTATTTTATTTGTTTTTATTTTTATGCGTTGACATATTATAAAAATGAAATTTATAATATTATTAGACTATTATTATTTTTATAATTTAATAATGTCATTATATATTTACTAAAATAAAGGATATGCAATATAAAATATGAAGTTTTCGAGTGTTATTTGATTTTTAAAATATGATAACGACCAAATTAATATCGAATGATATTGAAAAATATCATCACACTTTTTATTAAATATATAAAAATTAATTTTCTTTGAATTATTTTAAAATTTTGTTTTTTTATTAAATTAAAAAATAAATATTTATAAATATTATAAAAATTCAGATTACAATAAATATGGAATTAATCAAACTCATTCGATCTAACCACCAAACTAATTTAACCAAAACTGTCAAAAAAAAATCAAAATTTTATCAATTAAAATTAAACTATTGTTGTGTGAAATTTAAATTTTAAAATCTAATTTCGACCCAAACTGACCTATTGTGAAGTTCTAATGAAAATATACATAAATTGGATGGAAAATTATAAAACTTAAAATCAATATAAAGTGAATAAATTAATAGGACTAGAAAAGAAAAACATAGGACTTTGTCCCTAAAAGTTGAAGGACAGTTGAGCCGCTTTCAACAAGTACACTTTCTTTTGTGTCAGATTTTCTCAAATATTATTATTATTATTATTACTACTATTATAATTTTGGTCAACCAAAAATATTATTATTATTACTAATAAATAAAATAGGAATAAAATCTTTTGTTATGTTTTCCCCTGTGACCTCTTATCCATCTCATTATTTCTAATAATAATTATTAATTTAATTATATTCCTCATTTTCACCTATGAAAATATACTGCATTTTTTGGCGCAAGTCCATTATATATATTTTTTTGTTTCTATATTTATCTATTTATTTTTTGGCGAAATATTTATGTTATAAATGTGTACTGTAGTAATTGATTTGTACAGATATATACAGAGATAGATAAATATCAATATTTGCATTTTATTATTATTATTATTATTATTATTATTATTATTATTATTATTATTATTATTATTATACATGCAATTGAATTTGCATTTCGGTTTCATTTGAGGTTTTGTTTTCCTTTTTTATGGTATTTAATTTAATTTCCTTTGTACGCAATTTCTGTGTCAAAATTCACAACGTGCAAACTCTACTTTCACAGAGCTTTGTTGCATTCAGTATGTTGTTTTCTGCATTTGTTTGTTTTTGTTTTTATGGTTAATTTGACTGTGATGAGGTTAGTTATAATTTTGTGTCTGTTTTTTTTTGTTGCAGTTGAATGAAACAGTTCAATTTGGATGCAGAGTTTCACGCCAAAGAGGTTTTTTTTTTTTTTACTTGGTACTATTAACTTTAACATTGTGTTATTGTGTTATCAAACTTTGTGTGAAATTTTCTCTGTTTTAATGGATCAAACATCAAATTTCAGATCTTATCAATGTTTATTGAAATTTGAAATTTTATTTCTAGTACTATTGTGCATTTTTTTTTGTTATTTCTCATGAGACAATGGTTATTGTTGTGTGATGTTTCATAGTTTTTGGATTAGGTTTTGTGCTGATTTATGATGTTTTTACTGTAGTTTGTTTGACCTATAATGATTTTAGGATATTTTGCTTTCTTAGGTTTTGAAAAGATTGAAATTTTTTCAAGAATTTGGTGGTGACTAGTTTAGGTTTTTGGAATAGCCTACATTATGTTACTTGATTTCATGTTTGAAAAATTGAAAATGTTAATCTAAGATTCTAAGGTTGCTTTTTTCTTAAAGTTAAATTAGGGGTAGCAATAGCATTTTGGTTTTTGCTATGATGCTTAACCTTAAACTATGTAGCAAATAACCTGAATTGTTCCTAAGTGTTGAGTATGGAAATTTAGGTTTCTTATGCATGATATTTTGCAGGATAGTCCTTTTCGGCACGAACCAAAAATGGAAAATACAATTGAATCTTCGAGCAGTCCACAGCATAAAAAGGTATTTTCTATGGTCTACCGTGTCGAGGAAGTTTCTTTGTATACTCAATGTGATCGGTCGGTCATTAACTAGTTTATGTTTTTGAAACATGTTTCCTATAAATATCTGTTTAGATATTGAAAAGAAAAGTATTTTGAAAGTGATATATATGGTTGCCATGCTGCAGATATCGTTGAGATGGGATCCAGTCGAAGCGTGTCGGCCTATAATCGGTGAAGCGCCTGTGTTTTATCCAACTTCTGAGGTACCTCTTACTTATCACTATAGCTTTTGGTGGTGGTAGTAACATTGTTCAATGGTTCAGTTTTATTTTTATTCTTCTTATTAGGAGTTTGAAGACACGCTTGGTTACATAGCTAAGATACGTCCTGTAGCTGAACAGTACGGCATATGTAGAATCGTCCCTCCAGCTTGTTGGACTCCACCGTGTCCGCTTAACGAGAGAGAGATATGGGAAAATGCTAAATTTCCGACTCGTATTCAGCATGTTGATTTGCTTCAGAACCGGGAGCCAATGAGGAAGAAAAGTAGGGGAAAGAAACGAAAACGTAGAAGGCAGTCGAGGATGGGAACATGTAGTAGGAGATCTGGAAATTCATGTTCTGAAGCGAATGTCACTTCTGAATCGGACGATAAGTTTGGATTCCAATCAGGGCCAGATTTCACACTTAAAGAATTTCAGCAATATGGAAATTCTTTTAAAGATTGCTACTTTGGGTTGATCGACACCAAAGATGGTAGAGGCGGTGATAATAATCATCATGAGAGACGTGATCCGTCCGTGGAGGAAATTGAAGGTGAATACTGGCGAATAATCGAGCAACCTACGGATGAGGTCGAGGTATTACTGTATTAACAACATTGTTGGGTTTCAATGTAACATAGTTAAGAGAACAGTTTATAGATTGCGTTATGATTTATGTAGGTGTATTATGGAGCGGACTTGGAAACTGGAGCACTTGGAAGCGGTTTTCCTAAGACATCGTCGTTTACTAAGAGTGGTTCAGATTCGTATGCTATGTCTGGCTGGAATCTGAATAACTTTGCGCGACTTCCAGGTTCTGCATTGTGTTTTGAAGGAAGTGACATCTCAGGAGTTTTAGTGCCATGGTTGTATGTTGGAATGTGCTTTTCCACATTTTGCTGGGTACGTAGCGAGAATTACTTTTTTGTTAGTGTACAAATGAGGAAAAGTTTATAGTATTTTAGGTTTCACTGCGTTGATTTGTTTGAAATGTTGACTTGTAACACAAGTAATAATATCTTGAATTTTGCGTTACTTTTTTTTCAAATCTTTATATTTTCGTATAAAGACTAACACATTGTTCTCATTTCATGATTCTTGGAGCAGCATGTTGAAGATCATCACCTCTATTCGCTTAATTATCTGCACTGGGGTGATCCGAAAGTATGGTATGGTGTACCTGGGAGCCATGCATCAGCCATGGAAGATGCAATGAAGAAACACTTACCTGATTTGTTTGAAGAGAATCCAAATCTACTCAACGAGTTGGTATGATCCTTGTACTTTCCTCGTTGCTTCAATTTTCTGGTTGAAATATCTTCTGATTCTAGTGGTTATGATGATTTCGTCTTTGTACAGGTGACTCAATTCTCTCCTTCGATACTTAAGTCCGAGGGGATTCCTGTGTATCGAGCTGTCCAACATTCGGGGGAATTTGTTATCACCTTTCCAAGGGCATACCACGGTGGTTTCAGCTGTGGCTTCAACTGTGCGGAGGCTGTGAATGCGGCTCCGTATGATTGGTTTATGCATGGACAGAATGCGGTTGAAATTTATAGTCTGCAGTGCCGTAAGACATCGTTGTCCCATGATAAATTGTTGTTTGGATCTGCTAAGGAAGCTGTACATGCGCTTTCAGAGGTAACTCTTGATGGAAAAGAAAATCTTCAATGTTTAAAATGGAGAAATGCATGTGGGAAAGACGGAGTTCTTACCAATGCAGTTAAGGTAATGATTCTTGTGCGCTCTTTCCTTTTTTATCACAACACCGTCCGCATATTTAGAAAACTCCACAACACTTCGAAAGTTATTTATTGTTTGATTTTAGTTACCTTTTTTATTTATATTTTTGCGTAACGTAATTATCCTTACTTTGACAGACAAGGGTAATGATGGAAAAAGAGAGGCGGGACTGGCTCCCGTCGCATTTAAAGATGCTGAAGATGAACAATGACTTCGATTCGGTTGAGGAAAGGGAGTGTTTCTCTTGCTTCTATGACTTGCACCTATCCGCCGTCGGTTGCAAGTGCTCTCCTGACAGCTATTCTTGTCTTAAACACTTCAAGTTGTTTTGCTCATGTGAAATGGATAATAGATTCGTTCTGGTTCGTTATACTATGAATGAGCTAAGTACGTTGGTTGAAGCATTAGAAGGAGAGCCGTGTGCAATAGAAGCGTGGACAACCGGAAAAATTGGAACGGCTTATGCTAGTGTTGAGGATGGTTGCGTGCAAGAACAAGATATGGAGAGAATCGTACGCAAAACCAATAATTACGAAGGGAAAATCTCACTTTCTTGTGCAGGAATTAATGAGAAGTCGAATTCGAATGTACCTAGCAGTCCTTACAGTCATATTTCTTCCGAGCTGGTCCATTTAGAGTCTCGCCATGTAACGTTTAGTACACCTTATGCGGATACGAATGGCGTTAAGGATAACATGAGTGATACTAAGTTGATCATGGACAATGAAGTTAACGAGGATAAGAGGCGAGACAACATGGAACTTGGTGCTGGTGGTATTTCTGACTTGGAAAAAGAACCTTTGTCGTGTCGAACCGATGTTCGGAGTTCTGGTACACTCGATGGTTGTAAACTGTTTGGGGTCGATCTGCAAATAAGTTCAGAATCAGGACAGAAACTCAATAGAACGTTTGAAGCGGGAGTTCTAGACACCTCCAATTCTAGTGTATCTTTGATAAACCAAAGCTCCCCAATGCGAAAGTTTAGTATGTCTGTGGAGCTTGTAAATTTGGGATCTGTTCTCTACGGAAAGCATTGGTGCAGTAAGCATGCAATATATCCAAAAGGTATGTTTCTGTAAGATCTTTTTCCGGATTCCTTTAATTTTTGTGTTTTGGTTTTTTTCATGAGAATTTAACTTTTTATTCCGGTGAACTTATGAAGGATTCAAGAGCCGTGTTAAGTTCCTTAGCGTTCTTGATCCAGCAAGCATTTGTACATATGTTTCGGAAGTCATTGATTCTGGATTTCTCGGGCCTTTTTTCAGGGTATCATTCCCGACTTTGTTTCGGTTTCGAAATCATATGGACTTGTTTTTCAATTGAAGTATATTTCTTTCTCATTCGATAAAATATATTTCAGGTTACCTTGGAAGAACATCCGAACGAGGTTTTCACAAACACCTCAGCCGATAAATGCTGGGAAGCAGTTATTGACAGGCTAAACTATGAAATAAATAAGCGCAGAATTCTCGGTGAACAAGAAATTCCTCCCTTGGAACTACTGCACAACATCAATGGTCATAAAATGTTTGGATTCCTTTCGCCGTCCATTATTCAGGTAATGCAAACTCGCAAATCGTTAAGACACCATTGTTTATTGAACAAGATTCTATGTTTTGATGTTTCTAATCTATTGTGACAAAAAATTTCAGTCCACTGAAGCTCAAGATCCGAATCATAAATGTATAGAGTACTGGAATCACAAACAAGTTAGTTTCGGATCTTCTGGTAGAGTCGTTGATGACTCTAAGTTAACTTGTGGCTCAAGTAACAACTCTCTAGATGACTTGAAGACCAAGCTTTTCGGCGTTGATTTGATAAAGCAGGAGGAGGATGACATAGGAGAAAGTTCAGATTCATTTGAAGAGATGAAACCGATTTTAGAAGGATTCTTAAAAAAGGGGAGACCTGACGAATTAAGAGCAATGCGCAAGTTATTCAGCTCTGATGCACAGATGACTCAGTGGAGACCGACATTGATAACATTGATAGAGGAAATCGAGAAAGATTCTCCGTAAAATAACAACAAGATCTCATTAATAGTGTCCATTCTTTCAGTGACAAAGTTTTTCAAGTTGAGATGGATGACATTGACCATTGTAGGTGTTAATGTCATCGCACATTCCAACTTTGGTTTGTTTTGCATCTTTTATCCTTAGAGTTATTGATCTACATACTCTTTAAATTTGTTTATATGAACATAAAAACAAATGTTACCTTAATAAGAACTGATATACTGGTGAAATAAAGATTCATTGTTCTACTTATTTTACAATAGTATTTTGCATGTGTTGTGATTTAATCTTTACACTCAAACTGTTTTTTCAAAGTGATTTTGCTTGCACAATGGCACTTGGAGAATATCTCACTTTTTGTGTTTATGAAAAATTGGGAAAGAAAAATTATATTATTAACTAAAATGCCAATAACCATTTTAATTTTATAATTAATGACAAGATCTAAGTTTTCCTAAAGCAAAAGAGATACATATTGCGTGATATGCATGATGGCCATAGGGTTACTTACAAGACAAGTAATGGTTGTTATTCAGTTGAAACTGTCATAACATAATTAAAATTCTGTTATGGATTCTGTACTCGTATGCAGTGTTTTAAAAATTGTTAGACCGGTCATCAAACCGGTGAGGGTATTGGATCACTGGTTTATCGGTCGAACCACTGGGTCACTGGTCGAACCGCATGATCAAACCAGATTAAATCGGATAACTCGGTTGAATAAACCTGTCATTATATAGATATAAAACTGGTCGAGCCGGATGATTCAGTTTCTAAAAAAATATAACTAATACTTAAATTTTTTGAAAATATCATATCATAAATTCACAAGTTCATAATTTAAATTTAAATTTTAAACAAATGTATCACACATAACAAAATAATACAAAATTACAAAATATAATTGCAAACAAAGTTTAATTGCAACAGCTTCCCCATCAATAATATCATTTATTGATTATTATAAAATAAGAGGTAACTATTTGTAAGTAAAATATGATTCTCCTAAAAAGAAATTTAAATGAAATTCAATATGTTTATGCTATTTCACTTTCCCTTTCAACAAAATACATGTCTTTTTCTATTGTTAATATTTTGACACTAAATATAATTAATTAAAATTATTAGCCGTGACAAAATATAAAAAGATAAAATATATAACAATCTAAAAAGTTAAAATAATAAGGTAATTAATTTGTTATTAACCACAAAGTTACAAACTATTTAGGAAAATGTATTAGCAAAAATAACAAATAGCCAATAAAGTCTATAATTTGTCACTAACCAAATTTTTTTGTGTGAGAATGTTATTTAAGTAATACACTACTAAATATATTAAAAAAAAAGTTAAATTTTTTTTTTTAAAAACAAAAGTGAAAGAAAAAACAATTACACCGCTGGTTTTTTCGGTTTTCCCAATTTATATCGGTTCACACCGGTTCAATGGCAAGACCGGTCCGTCAAATGAACCAGACCGGCTAGTGTCCCGGTTTCCGGTCCGACCGGTCGGTCCGGTCCGATTTTCAAAAAACTGCTCGTATGTGTATGATAGTAATAGTGTAGCATCATGCTGAATATATAAAGCATTGTAATCAGATTGTAATATGCAAGTTGCACAAATATGCATTGCTTTTTCTTATCTTCTTCATCCAAGCTTTAACCATGGTGTTTTCATGGAGTTTTCATTCAACATGGTATCATGAGCCACTCAATCTGAGAGTACATAGTTTTACGTATTTCCTGGTCCTTCATTGTAATCAAAATCCTGCAAGTACATCTCAAAATCCAGATTCTCAACTGGACTAATCCAATCCATTCTTTGTTCATCTGAGTGATGGACCATCATTGGTTAGTGTTTCTTCGAAACTCAATGGTGAGAATTATTACTCGTGGATTTGTTCAATGCGTCGAGCACTTGGAGGAAAGCTAAAACTTAAGTTTATCGATGGCACAATTGATCCAATCATTGATAGTTTTGATCCCTATATCATGCATGGAATCGGTGCAATATGCCTGTACATTCATGGATTATCAACTATGTATCTGAATCAATTGCTCAATCTATTGTCTTTATGGAAAACATAGTCGATGTTTAGATCGATCTCAAGGAACGCTTCTCTTAAGGTGATTTGGTGCGCATCTCTGAATTAATGCAAGGAATATATGAGATGCAACAAAATTTAAGGTCTATAACTGATTTCTATTCAGACTTAAAGATTCTATGGGAAAAACTTAACATTTATATTCTCATTCCTACATGTACTTGTCGCATATGTGTGCATGTGAAGCTATGTGTAATGCAAGAAAACATCATACTACTTTGTATACAATCATATTTTTGACTGGTCTAAATCTAAATATTGTTGTTGTGAAGTCTCAAATTTTACTAATAGACCATCTTCCTCCTATGAACAAAATATTTTCTATAGTAAGAAAATTTCACTACTTCTGAAGATTTTAAATTCCTTGTAAATGTTGCTTGACTCTCAAAGATTCAAGGGAAAATCATATGGATCTAGTTCTGTTGACAAAGGAAGTAATCGTGTCTATACTCACTATGGTAAAACCAATCACACGGTACTCATTGTGGTAAAACCAATCAGCTGGTTGATAATTGTTGTGCCAAACATGGATTCCCTCCTTACACGCAGGAGAAATTTGTCAATCATACTTCCACAAATGACAAAGATTAAGATATGGAGGCATCTTCACAAGCCACTGATTTAAAATTCAGTCCTCCTTCAATTACTCATGAGCAATATGATCAGCTCATGCATTTACTGCAATAGTCTACTATCAACCAACAAGCTTCTATCGAAGGGAAATCGCTATCCAAAACGCAGCAAAAATTAAAAATTTCCCTTTAATGATCCTTACGAATGAGCATGATCAGTGATAGAAACAATTACCTCTTATGGTGATTAAAATTTTTGATGCAGGTCCGGGTGAATGATCACGAGCGTTGAATGAAGAACAACACCTCTACTCAGTCCATACGAACATAGTGCCTTCAATCTCAGTGCTACCTTGCTACAAATGAAGACTTTGAGTGAGAGAAAAAATGAGAGAAAAATGGTCAGGATTTCACCAACTGAATTTCATCAAGTTCTAAAACTTCTACACAAAGATTGTATTTATAAAACTACTTTTGTGGACTGCAAACTAAAAATACAAACTTAAGTGCATCATATAATAATAATAATAATAATAATAATAATAATAATAATAATAATAATAATAATAATAATAATAATAATAATATAATAATAATAATAACTATTATTATAATAAATATATTTTATTATTATTATTATTATATTATAATAATAATATTAACTCTTATTATTATATTATACGATATTCTATACTTCACTTAGGTACACCTACCTTACAGTGTTCTGTAATTCTCTCAAGTACACTGTATCTTACAATATTATTTATTTATTCTATCTCTCATCAATCTGTCCTTATGTGTGTGACCCTGTAGGTTCTCGTGACGTTGACAATTATATTAAATCATATATTTAATATAATAAACAGTGAGCGGTATCTAGCAACACATCACTGCTACGCAAGTCACGAAAATGTCATGTGATCTAACAAAATCTTTTATGATAGTACTTGTGTGTACAATTACCCTTTTGCCCTTATGTCTATATTGAACACAAGACATATACCGTGTCATTCTTGTCCAGTTCAATATTGGACCCTTAGACATTTATCCTGTTATGCAGGATGGGCAAATTCCATCTAGGTCACTCATGTCCCTCAACATGCTTTGTGGGGAACCCATCAATTGTCTTTATGGTCGTCCAGTTACGGACAATGTTAGATCAGCAATAAAGTACTCGACTCTACATCTAGGGTCCTTAGTGGTTTCAGGTCGAAGGGAGGTATACACCACTATCACCATGAGAGTAACTTATGACACTTTGCATAACATTCTATGTAATTCTCTCATAGCATGTCAATCCAGTATAAATTACTCATAATATTCATACCTATGTTAAGACTTGATAACTCCTTACCCATGATCCATGAGATGTGATCATCAGTCTATCTACGTAATAGTCTTAATGCTTTAAGGTTATTTCACTTCACAGTAAAGCTCGACCACATATACTTTAATATTAGGGTCCTCATATTTAATGGGATCTCATAATTAAGTCACACTTAATATTTCATTAAACTGACTAGTTATTCTAGGGACTTTATTTTCCTAGAAAAACAAATATAATAAAGAAATGTCTTTTAAATAATTTGATACAAGTGCCAAAAGTATTGGCCTCTAGGGCTTACACCAACAATCTCCCACTAGCACTAGAGCCAATCAGGAATACCCTTAATACCCATAGATCTAGTATGACCATCATGCTTCTGCTGCGCAAGAGGCTTTGTTAGTGGATCAGCAACATTGTCAAGTGTAGGCACTCTACATATCTTCACATCTCCTCTATCTATTATCTCTCGAATGAGGTGATATCTCCTAAGTATATGTTTGGATCGTTGGTGAGATCTAGGTTCCTTAGCTTGTGCGGTAGCACCATTGTTATCACAATAGAGATAAATGGGATCCACAATGCTAGGGACTATGCCAAGTTCACTAATGAACTTCTTGATCCAAACAGCTTCCTTTGCTGCATTCGAGGCAACAATGTACTCAACGTCAGTTGTAGAATCAACAACTATTTTTGTCTTTGAACTTTTCCAGCTCACAGCGCCAACATTTAAGCAGAGCACATGATCAGATTGTGATCTAAAGTCATCATTATCTGTCTGGAAGCTAGTATCGCTGTATCCAATTACAACAAGCTCTTCCTGACTTCCATATACCAACAATGAGTCCTTAGTCCTTCTCAAGTACTTAAGGATATTCTTGAAAACTACCCAATGAGCATCGCCAAGATCAAATTGGTACATACTCGTTGCACTTAAAGCATACAAGACATCTGGTCGAGTACATAACATGACATACATGATAAGTCCTATTGAATATGCATATG